ATGGACTTCCTCCAAATCCTCATAAAAAGCACCAAGTTCCGAATCATCAGCTGCTGATGGGGAGAATAGCTTTGATGAGTGATGGTTTTCTGATGCGGAGGACGGAGTCAAAGAATAGCCAAGAAAGGTGATAGATCTCATCGAATCGACAAGATGGGCAACACATGGGTGTACGAAATATCCAACGGCTCCAATGTTCTGTGATGGAATCTTTTCACCACGAATGATTACTGTGCCATCACTCAGCTGCCTCACGTCCGTCTTCCTGGATTTTGTTTCCTGCAAGGCGATTACGTGTTTGTTGATGCCCCCTGCAGCTTCGAGAAGGTCTTGAAGATCGGCGTTGGTGGAGACTGCCTTGGCGTTGTAGGTGCATAGCATGAGACAATCTCCATGGCGAGTCGTTGACGTGCCCTTTTGGTCCGAAATCCATGGCGTCCTCTGCAACCTGACACTGGTCTTTATGGCATACGACGCCGTGAGCAGAGCTTCTTTTTCTTTTACATGCTGTACGGGCAATAAAGGACTTCTCCCCAAACATTAGCAGAGCCTTGCCGGGGCCTGCTATGCCTTTACCACAGGAAATCGCTGACCTTATGTGGATCAGGGAGCCAGCAGCCAGACAGCAGTGCTTTTGACATGGCCTACTCTTAGCTGGGCATCCGGAGAACCGGAAACGTTAAACTCCTTCTCAGCTTGGGAGACCTTGCTGGAGGATAAACCTCCGCTGTACTTCGCAGTTCGACATCGAGTCACCTCCGCGCCACGATGAGGCGGTAGACCATAACGGGGGTGTTGTGATAATCAGTTGCAAAATACGATATAGAGCAGAGCAGTAGCAGCTTCTGCTTACGTTCATTATTTTGTAATAGCAAAGTGGGAGCCGTCGACTTGTACAAGAAATAAAATGTGAAAAATGTAGAGAATAAAGTCGTCTACAATGGAGTTTTTAATTTTTTTCTTTGCAGAAAGATGGTGAACGAAAGAACAATGATGAAGATCGTTCGCAGATGGGGACGCTAT